TAATTGTGTTGGCACTATTAGCAAGTACTCTATACAGCTATGGTAACACAAGACCCACAAATAAACAATATACATAATTTGACTCTGTGCTCTAAACTGGTATTAAAAGGAGGAAAGCTTGAGAAGAAAATGCTTGTAATCATACACTAAGAATACCATAAGAGAACATGGTTTGATTAGAAATGATCTGGAGTAAAAATTATAGACATGGAAGTCTTTTAATGACTTCAATACTCAAAAATTTAATACAAAAATATTTGAACTTCTATGATATATAAAGACATATGGTATGTGTGAATCTTCAGTTTTAAAGAAAAACAGAAAGTATGTTAGTGATGACAGCACCAAACTGGGAATTATGAAAGTCTGACTTTAAAGTGAAGTGAAATTGTCCTAGGGATTGGAGGAACTAAGACTGAACCTGACGCTTTTTGAAGGCTGTTGGGCTAGATCCAATTTTTTTTTTTTCTTAGCTTGACTAGCTTACTTTCTTGGCCAAAACCAGAAGCCCAAATTTGGCACTGGCTTCAGGAGTAGCAAATTTAAGTTTTAGCAGATTAGAGCAGTAAAGTAATTTAATGTATTCAATATGATGAAAATAAAATTAAAATGTCAGTTATGACTGGAAAAAGAGGAATAAATAAAACAAAAATATAGTGTTTACTTTTGGTCTGTATAGAGAGGTTCTCATCTATATGAAAATTAGAATAGGTACTTGAAAATATGATCACTTCTAGAATCTAAAAGATTTGGTATTTAATAATGTTAGGTAATCATAATGAAGCTAGATGAGATAGCTAATTACAGGTCAAAAAACATATTTATCACCATTTTGACACTAAACTGTTTCTTAATTTATATTAATGCAAGCTATAGTGAAAGTGAAAGTTGAGTCGTCATATCCGGCTATTTGCAACCCCATGGACTATACAGTCCATGGAATTCAGGCCAGAATACTGGAGTGGGAGCTGTTCCCTTAGAAAGGAATTTTAAAAAAATATATTTTTTTCCCAGAGTTTTGGCTAATATAATAGTCAGTTTAAAAATTTTTTCTTAAATATTTTGTTTCTAAACTTGTATATATTACATGATAACCCAAGAACCTGTGTTCCTATTGTCTTCATTTTGTTTGATTTTTGCTGACTTTGTTTTAACAAAGAAATTATGTCCACTTCTCTTTAGGCATATATTCTTTGGGTGATCTTGGGCAAGTTACTTATCACACTCCCAAAACCAGTTTCCTCTGTAAAATATTGACAGTCATCATATATTCTTAAGAGTTTCTGGGAAGACTGAATCAGAGAATTTAAGTAGAATTCTTAGCACAATACCTAGCAAGAAATGCAATAAATATTACTAATTGCAAATAAGACAAAAGAAAACAAAAGCAGCCCCACACTTAATACTTTAAAAGTAACTATTGCCAAAGATTACAAGTTTTGAGCACCCACTATGTATTTATAATGTGTGCTTCAAGCATTTCACTAGTTGAATCTCATGTAATCCTCAACAACTAGAAACTGTTAGTATTTAACTTTACAAATGAAAAATAATGCTACACAGGGAAATTAAATAATGTCCCCAGGCACACAGTCAATAAAAGGAAGAATCATGATTCAAACTGTGTTTGACTAACTATAGAATCTACACCTCTGAAAGTGAAAGGGTGAATGTGTTAATCGTTCAGTCATGTTCAACACTTTGGGACCCCATGGGCTGTAGCCCACCTGGCTCCTCTGTCTACGGGATTTTCGAGGCAAGACTACTGGAGTGGGTTGCCATGCCCTCCTCCAGGGGATCCTCCCAATCCAGGGATCGAACCTGGGTCTCCTGTATTTTCTGCATTAGCAGGTGGGTTGTTTACCATCTGAGCCACTATCAAGCTATGCCTCTTTTTACATTAGAGTGCCATCAGGCTCCAAACTGAACATTTGAAACAAACAACAAGAAAAGGAAACTTGGTGGGAAATATTTAAGGCATTAATTAAGAAAGTGTTTCAAATTTTAAGGCAAGATCAGATATTGAAACCTAAGTAGAAATCACAGGTGATATAGAATAAACCAAGACAGGTACCAGACATGATATTAATATAAATAAAAATAAGCAAATAAATCAAGCAAATCAATGTTGAATCGATAAAATGCTCAGGCTCTTAGTTTCATATCATAGGAAAAACTAACGGGTATCTGACACACACTTATCCTCAGAACAGGTGTGGTTAAAAATTCTTCAACCTTTAGGTCTGAGTTAAGGGTCTAAATCTGGCAGCTAGACAAAAATTGCCAACGACTCATGAACAAAGCAAAACATAAGGGCACTTCATAAAACATGGTCTGTTAACAGGGTATAATTATTTACCTTATATCATTTACTATAACTTGACATTTCATGTTAAATATTCCCTAAGTTTAAGCATATTTTAAATCCTGGACCAATAGGATATAACTACCATCCACTTTGCCTTGCTAGTGACTTCCAGATAAAGGCAACAAAAATAATCAAAGCATTTTAGTAAAATTTATAAGATGAATCATGAAAACCCCACATAGGTATTATTGAAAAGTAGATACATATTTTTACTTTTTTTTTTTTTTACAAAATCAGATGTTTTATAAAATATTTTATATTAAAGAAAAAAATTCAAATAATACTATCATCTAATTCCAACAAAGCCAATGAAATTATTACAGGGCCAGCATGCAACTATTCCACTATTTAGAAACTGTTCCACATAGAATCATTCAATCTAAATCTACAGTAAAATTTAATTCTGATTGCCCTCACTTTTGGGGGGTAAGATACCCAATTAATTTTATTTGAATTTTTTAAGGGATAGCAGTTTTTCTCATGTTTTAAAATTATATTGTTGTGATACTTATTAGATTAAAATTATATTTCTGTTGGGTAACTATAAATATATTGACATTTATCAAATCATATTCACAAAGGGTGCATCTTACACTCTGTGAACTGTATCTAAGAGCACCTGGTTAAAAATGCGCCCTCCAGTGGGAAGCGGTGGTTAGTCAGGTAGCTAACTTGGAAGCTGGCTTCTAACTAGCAAGAAAATACAGAATGTGAGACTAGGAGGTGGGTGAGGCCAGAGCAGCAGCTAAAAATAACATGGTGTTCAACCTGGCCAGAAATGATTAAATAATCTTTGCCTCACTCTTTTCCCATTTAAAAAAAAGGCAGAAATAAACATTAGGGAAAATTACTTTTTGCTACTTACATTTTTGCCAAGCCTGTTCTTAAAAAAAAAAAAAAAGCCTTAAAGTAACTATTAGTCACTAGAATATAAGGTGCATACATAAAGACCATTCAGTAAAATTAATGACATGCTCCCAAATGCATTTGAGGTTTATAAAGAAGCAAGTAAGCTAAACATATTTCATACTGAGGAAGGAAAACAAAAATGCACATCATATCAGAAAGCATATGTGGCAATGTTCCATTTTATTTCTATCACTACTATAGTACAAAAATCAATAAATACAGTGTATACATATATGCCATTCTTGATAGTAACATGTCTTTACCTTTCATATGTCACAGAAGAGGTTGAGATAGATTCCTTCATTCTGTTTCTGAAGTAGATGTTAATTTAAAGGGCAAAAATGCCCTAATTATCTTTCTTACAAGGCATATCCTTCCTAAAGTAAGATGCTACTACTTAACAGGTAAGATCTATGGAACTGTTATTTATTTTAGCAGAATTTCTACTCTCCCTTTCAAAAACAGTGAAGTTGAGACTGTTACAAAGAAATGAACCCTGATTAAAACTGGTCTTGTTTTATATCGGAAGTATATTTTAGTTCTATTAAAACACTAATCCATAAACATTTTTGAAATAATATTGATTTTTAAACATTCAATGGTTATCCCCCTTTTAATGTTTTGCTATAGGAATTTCAATTATTAAAAAAAATTGGATGTTAAAACAAATTTCCTTATATCATCATCTACTGATCCAACAATTTCCATGATTTGCTACACTTGCTTTATCTATCCTTCTAGGTATATTTTTATTACTATATGCTTAAAGGAAATTCTAGACCCCACACCTTCTACCTCGACTTAGTAAAGTATCTCTGAATAAATATAAAATTAGTAGCTATCACATTTTTCTTTAGTTGAGACAACACCGAATAGAAACATAAATTAAAGTGTATCTATTTTCACTCAAGCTATGATGATGTGTAATTTTTAGGATTTATTTAAAACATACAGAAGACAGGGCTTCCCAGGTGGTGCTAGTGGTAAAACATACAGAAGACAAAGTATTAAGATTTTTGAATAGTTCACTTCCATGCAAAATATTTTGACTCTATTTTTCCTATAAGAAATTACAATCCAAGACTATAGGTGAAAATTATTACAATTTTAATATTAAGGAAAAGCAACAGAAACTTGTTTTAAGTCATATTTGGCTGTTCTATTATATTTAAATATTCCTGCTTAATAAGTCCATAATTGTTCTGAATGTAGAAACAGGGAATACAATCTGCCACTCCACTTATATATGCGGATTCTTTATCCAAGAAGTGAGTTGGACAAGATTCAAATATAGTAAAATATTTAAAATTCCAGAGTTTAATTCATAATATTTAAATGTAATTTGCATACATTAGCAGTAAATGTATTAGAATATCATTTCAACATGTATTCACTTCAATTGATACAAGGTAACATATTCTGTCAGTGTAAGATTTAAATAAAGTTAGTAACACTGATGATATAGCATTATAATTTTCACACATAAATACAAAGAATTTAAATTTATATATGCAACAATACAAATACTAAACTACCATGCTAATGAATCAAGATACCAAATTAGTATTTTAGCTCCAAGAGCCATATTTTGACTTTCATTTAGTTATGTTTTATACATAATTTTTAATATATGTACTTTAGAACTAATGAATATTTTTAAAACTTTTCTTTAAAGACAATTTTCCATCTTTTAATTTTTCTATATGTCTGGATTAAATCATACCTTCAAAGAAACCATCTCTTTGGGGCTGTGCTTTCTCTGGTGGTTTTGTAACAGAAACTTTATTTTCATTGTTTTTGAATAATGCCAGGCGTACAGTGGGATCTAGACAAAAAGAGATTAAGACAAAAGTTCAGCTCTGGTTCTTTCCTTCTCTCAAATTGCTAAACATTTTCTACACTAATATTAAAAATAATAGCCATTCTATAAAATTCTGTGGAACTGATGACTTATTAAAAATATCTCTATAATATAGTAAAGTAACCAACATCTATATACTCTTAGTTATCGGATTAAGAAATAGCCAGTACTTACTACACAGGACAGAAATAACTAATAATGAGAAAAAGTTGCATTTAAATTTCCCAGTTATGCCATCAACATTTTATTTATGGAGTTTTACTGTTTATTATTTTAACTCCTTTGTTAAATTCCTGATATTTTTGTTTGAATACATTTTTTCATAAATATACATAGATAAAAGCTATCATTATAGGAAAAACCATATACCCTACTTTTTTCCTTCTCTGAACTATAAGAAGGTAAGATATAGGAGATGGAAGCAAGACAAATGAGATAAGAAACATAAGATATAATTTTCATTGGTTTTACAGATAAATGAATAATTTCTGGTTTGCGTCAATCTATGATATTTTACATAATGAAGATGTATAAATTCTAAGTATTTTTTATAGCCAAGAGAATTCTGAATCTATTAATTTTACAAAATAAATAATTGTAAGAGTAGGGTCCTATAACTTTTTATTGATAATAAATGGTTCTAAGGAATGTGAAATTGGGGATTTAGTGTGGTTTAATTAAGACAAAAGGTTTATACTTGGTGAGGAACTGTAATAAAGAGTAGAAAGTTCTGCATTTAAAGTAGGTTCATATACTTTTAAAAAGATAGGTTGTATCTGACTGATATAATGTTGTATGTCAGTGATACCTCAATAAAAACATAAATGAAGCTAACATAAAACCACAATTCAGCACAGTCTACATTTTATTGATACCTTTATATCATCTTGCAAAAAGGGACTATAAGAATCTTCTATTAATATCTAGTACAGTAGAAGTGAATATGCTAAATGAAAAAATGAGATTTAAAATATAAAACCCAAATTACTTATTTTAATTTTATGTTAAGATAGCATGGTTTTTCAAATGTGAATTAGAAAAGCAGAAGAGTATTTGCAGTTATTCTCAAGCATGAGTATGCTGAAGATTTCCATTAGTCTTCCAGTTACAATTTACCCTTACTAAGCATGACAGACACGTTTCAGAGAGGTTTTGTTTTTCAGATTAGGGAAAATAATAGTCAATATTTGGACACATCTCATAATTGTAAGTGACCAAGGTATTGTAAGAGTTGGGTGCTTCTATATGAATTCAAATACTGGCATGTTAAAAAGAGCATTAGTGGACGTCCCTGGAGGCTCAGTGGTAAAGAATCCACCTACCGATGCAGGAGACGTGGGTCTGATCCCTAATCTGGGAAGATCCCACATGCCACAGAGACTAAGTCCACGTGCCATAACTACCGAGCCTGCGCCCTAGAGCCCGCGAGCTACAACCACGGAAGCCCGCGCGCTTAGAGCCCTTGCTTCCAACAAGACAAACCACTGCAATGAGAAGCCCCCCCGCCTCAACTAGGACACCCGACACAGCCAAAAACAGGTAAAATTTTAATAAAAGCATTAGTCATTCAGGGAAGGCAGATTTCTGTGGGTTTACATATTCTATGATACCTTATTATAACCTTCCGTTTTTCTACACATTCTCCTAACCTTCTTGCCTTTTTATTTGATCTGGTTGTATTTCCTGACAAGAAATATTACAATTGTACAAAATGGGGTTAGATCCAAGCTCCAATATTTACCAGTCGTATGATTCTGGACAAATTAGTCTCATCCTCTGCTTCCTTTTTGTCCAATAATATTAACTTTGAAATATTACTGTGCGCATTAATGAGATACTGTATGCAAAGCATCAAGACATAAGTATAGGTAGGTACTCAATAAAGGGCAGCTACTAAACAGATAATTACAACATAAAAAACAATAACATTTCTTGGAAAAGATCTTAAATCATTACTAGAATAAGGTAGGATATACAGGAACAGACTGTTTGATCCATAATTGACTTCATTCAATTCAATATAGCACATGAATAAAAGCAATGGATCTTCTCTAAGATCTTTTGTACTCCTTTGGGCAAATAATAAGCTCTCCATGACTTGATTTATTAATATGTAAATCATGGACAATGATAGTACTTGATTCACACTACTATCATGATTAATAATTCAACACATAAAATCATTAGAAGAGTTGTCTAGTTGTATATTCCCCAGGCAAGAATAATGGAGTGGGTAGCCATTCCCTTCTCCAGAGGATCTTCCCAACCCAGGGATCAAACTTTGGTCTCCTGCACCGCAGGCAGATTCTTCACTGTCTGAGCCAGCAGGGAAGCCCTAATTTACTCAATAAGATCATTTTATTCATCAAGAGCACATAAATAATACTACATTTTTAATATTTTTATTTCAAAGCATTCTGATTACATCACCTTAAATGGGTTTAAAATAATTCAAGTTGCAAAGGAATAATGATAAGAAACCAAAAATGTAGTAATTCTAGATGGGAGAAAATCACCTGATTCTAATGGTCCCTGGAAAGACCACCATGAATGAGGCTATTGCTACCTTCAAAAAATACACAATTGAGTAAGAGAGCCAGTAGATAAGGATATTGTAAAGAGCATTCCAAAGTCATTTAAATCTACACCTCAGCAATCATCAATGGCAGGTCTATGTTGCTGTTTTTTAAATTTTTGTATCTATCAGTATGACTTGCTCAGTATTCGAGAAATAGGTTTTAAATACATCTTTATCATTTATTTAGAGAAACCCATAAGTAGACTGAAGTTCATGGGATCATAAAGAGTCAGATACAACTTAGCAATTGAAAAACAACAATTAGTAAGCTGAGTTTCCATTATGTTTGTGGTTCTGTACTTGACACTTTATATCCATTACTTCATTTAAGTAACACTTTTCTTTAGGCATTATAATATCCTTAACATTGTTTTAATCTCTTTACAGATTTTATGAAATAAAATAATTTTATCTCAATCTGTAAAGATCCCGAGCAATCTCTTCACAGTTTCTTTAATCCTAAATTTAGCTCACTTACTAATGACATATATGAAAATATGAAAATCTGGTTATTATCCCCATTTTCTGCATGTGCCATTTAGAGCACTATAAAATAAGTTTTATCTTACTAATGACATATATGAAAATCTGAAAATCTGGTTATTATCCCCATTTTATGTATATGCCATTTAGAGTACTATAAAATAAGTTTTATGTTAAGGTTGAAAGACTAGCTATAGTTCATTATTTAATAATGAGTATTATTTACTAATTTAAATTTGCTTTCTCACAGTAAAGAGTTGCCTGCAGTGCAGGGAGCCCGGGTTTGATCCTTGGGTTGGGAAGATCCCCTGGAGAAGGAAATGGCAACTCACTCCAGTATCCTTGCCTGGAAAATTCCATAGACAAAGGAGCCTGGCAGGCTACAGTCGATGGGGTCACAAAGAGTCATACATGACTGAGTGACTTCACTTTCTTTTCTTTCGTTCTCAAATATAGGCTTCCCTGGTGGTTCAGATGGTAAAGAATCTGCATGCAATGCAGGAGACCTGGGTTCAACCCCTGGGCCAGGAATATCCCCTGGAGAAGGGAATGGTTGCCCACTCTAGTATTCTTGCCTGGAGAATTCCATGGACAGAGGAGCCTACGGGGCTACAGTCTATGGGCTTGCAAAGGCGTACACACTGAGTGACTAAGACTTTCACTTTTTCTCAAACATAAACATATACTTAAATGACTATAAACTACACACACAGTCACACACACACAGAGTTATATGTCTTTAGTGATGTTTATCTAACTTACTGCTGATCTGCTTAACAGCTATTTATTGAACATCTACTACAGTATTTAAATGACTATAAAATACACTAAAATACTCTAAATGACTATAAAATAGGGCTTCCTGAAGCGACTTAGCAGCTGCAGCATAGCTCGACTGGTAAAGAATCTCCCTGCAATACTGGAGACCCGGATTCGATTCCTGGGTTGGGAAGATCCCCTGGAGAAGGAAGTGGCAACCCACTCCAGTATTCTTACCTGGAGAATCCCATGCACAGAGGAGCCTGCATGCTACAGTCCATGGGGTCGCAATAGTCAGGCACGACTTAGCGACTAAACCGCCCCTACGGTATTAGGCTCAGGGAATTTGGTGGGGAACAAGTGGAGACTGAGTCCTCCATGATTTTAGTATTCAAATAAGTTTTGTTATTGGTTTATTTAGAGCACAATGAAGTAACATTTAATCAAAATTCTTTTAAGTTCCTTGTGGGAATCACTGAGGTGAACAAAATAAATCAGCAATACACTTCACTTTGTCAGTTTTGTCTAAGCTGTTTCCTTTTGATCCTTCCTCCTTAACATGTCTTAATTGTCTTATCATTTTGCAACCTGATCTCTTTGCTATAGCTCATGAATGGCTTAATTCATACTAAAAAGTTAGCTTTTATTATTTTCTATATGGCTTAACTCTTGGCTGTAACTAAATGTTACCAACACAGTCTCAAGCTTTTTTCTTCATTCACATGGAATCAGCAAATATCTATTGAATACTTTGCATGTACTTGACACTGTGCTAGGTGTTATCAACAGCTGCAAGATGATTCTTGTCCCTAGTAATGTGTGTGTGCACATGTGTGTGTGCTCAGCTGTGTCTGACTCTTTGCCACCCAATAGACTGTAGCCCGCAAGGCTCCTCTGTCCTTAGTACTTCCCAGGCAAGAATATTGGAGTGGGTAGCCATCTCCAAGAGGATCTTCTTGACCCAGGGATCGAACCCAGGTATTCTGCATTGCAGGCAGATTCTTCACCACTGAGCCATCTAGAAAGCCCAATATCCCTAATGGGAGTTCTATCTTTGTAATGAAATTAACCTTCTTTTCTTCATCCTGGTTTATCTTTCTTCTAACTCTGAAATTTGATATGCATAAATATGATAAATGTTGGAATGAAAATGTTATGTTTTCATCCTTATACTCTTAGCCCTTAAACTTACTATTCTTTCCCCACTAAAATCCCTACACGCACTAAAATCTCCTCTTTGAAGAGAGGTCCTCATCACAACCACGCACTCACTCTCTTTCTCCATCTGGCTCATCTTAGTTTTGCTACCAATTATGACATCTTTAGGATACTGATCCTTAGATTTTTCAATAAACTAGCAACTCTCACTTTACACATGATGTTCTTCACTGCAGTACTAACCTCCAAACTTCACCAGGTATCTGCTAAATTCCTACCCAGATCACCAAATTCTGAAATCACTTTTGTCCATGACGCGACAGTAAAAACAAAAAGACAAGAAAACAGAAGACCAACAAACATAAGATCAGCCATCACTGGCTCACACCTAGGTCCATCATGAGGGAAAGAGCAGTGACTTACCACAGATAACAATTAGAACCCAATACCAAACTGAGTAAATCATGGTAACTCCTCACAATTTTCGATTCCATCCTGTGGCTTTCAATTAATTCCTCCTCACCCTCCTCCCCATCCTCTCTCTTCTGTTTAAAGCTGATGACCTTATCTATCCTAATGGAAGTCACCAATACTGACAGTCCTCTGAAGGCTTCCCACACTGTTTGCTTTCTCAGCCCGTTTCTTCATTAATCAGTAACCTGAGTGGTCTTCCTCTCCTATCTGCAACTTTCTTCAAATAACTAACCCCTACCTTTTGCCCTATTTTCACTCTCATCTTAATCAAATATTATTGATATATCCCTTGGTTAAATAAATATATATACAAGATACCAACAGGAAATATTATTAAGAGCAACAACAACAACTGAGCAACTTGCTGTAAGGTTTTTCACAGTAAGAAATTTGGATTAATGCTTCCATATTTCGTCTATTTATGCCCCACTGCCTTGAGGATTACAGCTTTGTTAGACTGCAGGGATTCCATTTAATTTTCTCCTCTGAGTGTCCCATTTGACACTCTCCCTACACTCAGGAGACCAGGGTTCAATCCCTGGGTCGGGAATATCCCCTGGAGAAGGCAACGGCTACACACTCCAGTATTCCTGCCTGGAGAATTCCATGAACAGAGGAGGCCGGAAAAAATAGATGTGATTATAAATTAATGCTAATAAGTGTCAGATGAAAACTAAACAAATACTTGGAAAAAACAAAACAAAAGAAAAAAAAAAACCAGGGTTTCGCTGGTGGCTCAAACAGTGAAGAATCCGCCTGCAATGCAGGAGACCTGGGTTCAACCCCTGGGTCGGGAATATCCCTTGAAGGAGGAAACGGCAACCCACTCCAGTACCCTTGCCGGGAGAATTCCATGGACAGAGGAGCCTGGCGGGCTACAGTCCACAGGGTCACAGGGAGTCAGACAGGACTGAGTGACTGTACCCACAGAACTGGTTAGTCTCCCGCAGTTTCATGAACAATGTTGCCCTCCGGTGGCCTGAAATTTTCAGGTTGGCAAGTTGGACGTGTAAGAGATACACATATGTAACTGTATATTTGAAAATTACTAGTAAATTCTAAAGTATTTAACAGAATTAAAATGTTTAATATATATTTAAATTTATTAAGTAGTAAAAGTTTAAAATTATGGCCATTAGAGTCAAATTGAAAGTGAAAGTGAAAGAAAGTAAAAGTCACTCAGACATGTCCGACTCTTTACTGTACAGTCCATGGAATTCTCCAGGCCAGAAAACTGGAGTGGGTAGCCTTTCCCTTCTCCAGGGGATCTTCCCATCCCAGGGATCGAACCTAGGTCTCCCACACTGCAGGCTTTACCAGCTGAGCCACAAGCAAAGCCCAAGAATATTGGAGTGGGTAGCCTATCCTTTCTCCAGTGGATCTTGCTGACCCAGGAATCGAACTGGGGTCTCTTGCATTGCAGGCGGATTCTTTATCAAGAATTCTTGGTAGGCGGATTCATTGCATTCTTGGTAGGCGGATTCATTGCATTCATTCTTTACTATGAGGGAAGCCCAAATTAGTTAATAGCATATCACAAGTCATTAATTAATTGCATATATTAATTGATCACATTAACACTAGAAAAAATTTTATTCTATAAGAAGAAAGACTGAGTTACAGAGTCTTAATATTTGCTCACATATGCAAAAAGACATAAAAGCTACATCATCTAGCTACTAAAGATTAAAATATAATTGTACAGGAGCCCACTGATTTTCTTTTTCATCTTTAATCTTACCTTGACTATATCTATTCTGGGTATATGTGGAGAAGGGGGAGTAGAGAAAAAGAGTAAGGATTTAAAGGTCATTTTGTTTTACACTTCAGAATGCAAATTTTTAAAAAACTGGTTTCATTTCATCAATCTGATAGTATTTTGATAAAATACTATTTTGAGAAACAAAACAAAATCTTAATATAAAGACACAAAACCTCACACAGTAATAAGAATGTGATTTGGTTTACGATCATGTAACTAGAGTAAATATCTCTATAAAAATTATATGATTGCCATTTTGGATCTTTACCTAAAAGGTCATGCTTAATGACAACTGTCAAAATGCTAAATTTAAGATATCCCTGTTAACTTGAATATCTGGTTATCCTTTTCCTTTTGTTACCCTATCATGCCCCCTTGTGACAGATAAAAAGAAGTTTAACTTTTGCCTCATAATATTATGTCTAATTTTTGGCCACTGAAGCAATGATTTTTATTTTTATGTTGAGCATATATTCCTCATTAAAATTTTTCTAAAAATATTACCTACTATGCTTATTTATTTAAAAATGTACTCAACCTGAAAAAATAAAACTCAGTTACTAGAAATAGCAAGAAAAACCTATATATTTCCAGAGACAGAGTCTAACAAGATAAAATTTTCCTTAGCTTCACCCTCACAGACTATTGCAAATACTCTAAATAATTTAAAAAATTAGATCTTGAACATAAATAATAATTATGTGTTGAACACTGGCTGAATCAGTTTGTAAGGCACTTTTGGTATTTGAACTTACTCCAGGAGTTTCAGTAACTTTTATTAATCTCAAAACATTTATTTAAATGTTGCTTTTGATACTGTTGAAAATGAGTAGAGATATCCATCAAAGCAATATAACATTATCAAACTACCCTGAATTACTGCACTGAATTCTACTTCCCTAGAATTGAAGGAGAGTCTCACTGTTTTTAAGGGCTTGGGGTTATATTTCCCTGGGTAACCACCACACAGTATTCAGTTCACAGAGCCCGGAGGGACTTGGTAGGAATTTACAATATAAGAGTACAGGACGCACTAAACAATCTGACAACAAAGCAAATATTGACATTTTCTCTAAAAATGCTTGAAATTTTAATACTTTAAATGTAAAAAATTTTGAGTACACACACAAAAAATCACACTTACCTTAAAAAGATAAAAGATAAAATTAAGATATCACTATACAAGGCCAAAAAAGGAAAGTTTAACATTTATGAATATAAAAATGAATCATCAGTAATTTATTAATGGCTAGTAACTGCTGTGTTAACAAATATCAGTTATTCCTCAGAAACCAACAGTATTTTGGTTATTTTTTTCTAAAAATTATATATATGTATATATATATGCATAGATTTCTTAGAATTCTAGAATTGAATTGATCAAAATAATAAATAGAAAATTAATAAAGGTAAAAATTAATCTGAGTGTTTCTTAGTATACTGGTATAAGCTAGAATTATAGGGTAAATATAGACTTCTTGCTTGTCTCAGGAATAATGGTACTTTTACAGAGACATTTCACTGACATTAAGATTTTTATAAAGGAAATTGATGAAGGAGAGAAAGCAGATAAAAAAGAATGTCATGTTACTTATATTGAGCCTATGAGTCCATGAGTAAACACAAAGTTATTTGAAATATACAAATAACTTAAATTGTCTTAATTTTAGCTATAAATTCGTTGACCACCTATTTCTTGCTCTGATATCTCTAAATTACTCCACATATTAAATAATTTTAATAAAATAACTAGAGGTGTCCAAATAAAGACAAATGACTTGAAGAGCCTGGCAAGTGGGACAGAAGAAAGATGCCTTTGAACATTTTGCAAGTTCAGCATAACCACAAAAGATATACACTGTACTCCTTTCCCTAAGTGTCGAAGCTGATATTCATGGAACTGATAAATGTAGGGAAATAGTTTATAGAATAATCAAGCAATTTAAAAACACACAAAGGAATAAGCACGTGAAGCAGATGCTCTTTAGAATCACCATTTGCTGAGACGAACCAGCTTAGAAAGCAATTACAGCATAATTCTCAGTGCACAATAGAATAATCAATAGCAAAGTAGATAAGAAACAGGGACAAGTAAATATAGCATTTAAGAGTATGATAAATCATTAAATGCAATATCATAAATTTCTCTAATTTTTCTTATTCTTTTTATGGAATATTACCTTAGACAGTCTCATATCTGTGCATTTTATTTCTATGCTTGTTAAATACAATTTGCTAAAAATAGTTTAAAAGATTATATTTTCAATGTCAGATACACAGTTATGGAGCATTGATTACCCACCTAATTTTTTCCTTAATTTCTTTGATTTCATTTTCTGTGCTCTCTTCAGCATCTGCTGAGCAGTAGAAATATCCTTAAAACCCCTATTAAAAGATCAAATTTAATAAAGGCAAAAATCCTCAGACTATATTTATATTATGCATATATACATGTAAACATATCTGAATTATATCATACCAAAACAAATTTGAATTCCCATTTAAGAATCTAAATTTAACAGAGGTATAGTTTCTTAAAAACTAATAAAGATATTCTTGAAATCTTGAAAAATACCTTTTTGGGTATTTAAAAGTATGTAAATCTCTTAGTATGTTAGTGTGAAATGAACTACATACCATTCTTCTGAAATTTTTTCTTCTTTTTCAGACTTTAGCAGACTCTTTCGGCTGGTCTTTGCTTCAGGTGGTCTGGGTAAAGTTCTACTTTCTGATCTAGCAACAGGACAAAAACCACACTTGACTGAATCAGCACAAGTATATCAGCACTTGTTAAAACTACAAGCTGTTTATGTTGTCTCACACTTGGAAATAAAATATATTTAAGTTACAGAAAAAACTTTATCTTGAAAAGTAATAAAAGTCAGCCATTAATTTAAAATGTTTACATTTCAATTACTTGGAGCATATTTCAATCCTATTGTCGAAAGAAACAACATTGGAATTTTTATTCTAATTCTTATCTCTACCTATAGAGCAGTATTTAAAAGTCCACTTGTATACAGCAGTTAATAATATTATTTCACTGACACTTTGTATTTGCTTTAATGAATGTACATCACACATTTTTCTTACACTGAAAGCTCTATAAAATCAATAAATTTTTAATACAAATGCTCTACCATGTTCTAAACAAGCAAATTCATGCATATTTTCATAATCTTACTATTTTTGTAAGGAATATAATATTATTGTCATTCATTAAAGGTTGATCCTCTAAAAGAGCAATTTAGCTTACCTGCTATTAAATTGTGTGTGTTCTGATGAAAGCAAATTTTCTTTCTCATTACATAGCCATGCTTGAGCTGGATGACTTGGTAAATTAAGTGAAGTATCATCACATTTTAAGATTCCAGAGAACTTACCAGAGAAAAAAGTACATACATATAAAATAAATTGAAAAAAATCTAACATTTATATTGTATTACTTTACATGCATATTACTGAGTAGTTTAATAAAAACTTATATAAAAATTAAAAATTGTAATAAAATGAAATTTATAGACATACAAATGTCCTTTCTTGCAGTGGTGAGGGGTATGCTTTTTGTATAGTTTGCATATACAAAATGATTAATTGAAAAGATCATAAAAAAATTCACAAAACAAAAACTTCAAAGATTAACAAATAAATAACAGATATTGCAGTCCATTGACCTCTGACTGAGAATCTTCAGCTGTTGCCCTTTTAATGCATATTTTTGTATTTTTAAAGTGCTGTCAACTAGTGATTTTATGCAGCTGAAGCATATCATATATTTTTTTTTTTTTTGCTACTGTGAAATAAAGTGTTGAAAGAAATCCAAAATAAAGAAAAAAAAATTAGGAGCAAATGAAAGAAAAGCTACATGAAAAATTACATCTGGGGATGAGGAGGAAGTCAGAGGCTTCTAAAAGTAATTGTGTTTTTCAAGTCAATAAATTGTATTATTAATCACTGCAGCATAGCATAACCTTAAGAAATGAGCAAAGATGGAGCACTAAGAGATTTCCATGACATGTTACCTTTGGCCAGTGCAGCTGGTTTGGAAGAAGCAGTGTTTGTGAAGGGAAGCGGGCGGAATCTAAAGCAAGCCATTCCTTCTCTAAGGCAGCCTGAACAAATAATAACATTAATGTACATAATTTAGTTTGCATAGCTTTTATAAAGATTCTTTTAAACTGTCTTACACACTACCAATGCTAAGAAAGTATATCAGCATTTCTACTTAGAGGAAAATTTGCTACTTGCTCTTGTGAAATGTTATGCATCTGTTTAATGCAAAGATTCTAAAAAAATGGGATAAAACTTTTCATCCCCAAGTGGAATAAAGTAAAACCTTGAGTACTCACATGTTCTAAAAAATGAGAAGTACAGATTGTTCAGTGTATTCAACTTTTCAAGAACTAGGACTCTGAGCCAACTCTAGATGTAACTGAAGGACATAATTGTTTTACTTTTTATTATACAAATTATAATATTCTCCATCAAACCTCACTATTTAAAATTTATATTATTTTAACATACTAGTATCACTTTTTTTCTGAAAATACTATCTGTAAGTTAGCTTTTACTTAATTTTAGCTCAAAATTTCACAAATTTTCTGAATATATGGAAAAAGAGAATTTTGTGGCAATATATGGAACATGGTTCCTGATACTATATTCTCTAATTCAAAGGTTTGAATGATAAAAATATAAAATTTGAAATGATTTTAAGTCACTTCACTCTTCATCTTATAAGATCTTTATTCCATTTAGGTAATTTCCAAACTTTTTATCTTTCTACAATGGAACTAGTTACACTAGTATTGTATAATTTAGGATATCATTATCTAAATTTTATTTGCTTGGCTTATCTAATATGGTTTAAATAATATTCTTTGGTTCTATAATTTTTAAAATATCTTTAAGGAGAAAGGATGGTCAGAATACCAATGAACTTGATTTTTAAAAGTTTCTAAAATGATCAAACATATTTATGTTTTAAAAACTGGAATGACTATAAGCTAAGACTTAAATTCAATTTTCCATTCATAGAGCTTCAGTGGTTCTTGACTGTCTCTTGAAAGACCACTGGAAAGGCAAGACTAAGACGGCCGGACTACAGACCAGCAGGGCAATGGCAGACCATTGCTTACAGCATTCAGTCTCAGGAAATCTAATCAAATTTACGTTATCTGAGTATCGATGTAAAAAGAACACAGTTGTGCACCAATACATTGTTCAGGTCCACCTGGGAAGAGATTATTAACATGTATGTTACAGTCATATACCTGTTATACCTGGTTTAAGAATATACATCTGACTTAAGAAGGGCTACTAAATGCAAAATTGCAAGCAGTATGTGTGGCTGAGATTTTTTAATTATCTCTTTTGTATGACAATTCAAGGAAAATTTAGTTCTATCCCAGGGAAGATCAAGGTCCAAGACATATCAGTTCTCATTAAATTAATATTCTTATTCTGTAAAACTGCTAAAATGAAGAGACGTGGAGACAATACTACAAAAGGCAAAATGCCAGAGGATTCTGGGAACATGGTGGAGTAGGGAGCACTGGGAACCTTTCTCCCAACCTACACAACTGAACCGGCAGAGTCTGTCTAGTATAACCATTTTAGAAGTCTAGAGTCTACTGAAGGCTTCTAACGCCCCAGGGAAGATGGTTAATTTTGGTCCATGTCAACTCTCAGCACAGTAACAGCCACCTATCTTCCATTCCCGAGCCGCGAGGCAGGCAATGGTCCCTGTGTTTCAGGAGTAAACTGCACATAGCTTGCAGTGGTCAGGGTAGACAGCGAGGATGCTGTCTTCCAAATATTGGAGATCTGTGATTGACCTTTGATTGTTGCTTCTGATCACAGAGGCACAAAGAGGTGAGTGGCCATATCATATAGATGATACCATATCATATAGAGTTTCTTCCTTGGAAAAGCTACATAAAGTCTGGGGAAATTTTTAGTTCTTTAAACTGATATCTAAAAGTGCAGAAAACTTTGAAAATAGTTTTTCTTATTTTTTTAATATAGGGTGACAGACTTTTTTAAGATTCTAGAATAATTAACTTTAGTCTTTTAAAAACTTCTAGAGACATAAATAGAAGGTACAATATAAAATGCTAAAGATACTTAGCAATTATATAATCTCAACCAAAAATGTTACCAAGACTACTGATTTATATCAGTTCAAGCTTATTAATATCAAATATATGTGGCAGTATCTAGTATGTTGAGGGAAAAAACTCAAAACATCAGGAGGAATTGGTCATAATTATAAATATGCTATTTAAAAATATATATTAATATATCTTTCTTACTGCTGGGCATATACAAATTTCAGTTATTGCTTAAGAAAACCTTCTGCTCAGATATTCCTTAATTTACAACTGAGAATTTGGAAAGCTTTCTATTAGAAGACTAAATTAAAATTTATTTACATATTAAAAATAAAATTATTCATGTCTCCTGGTTTATGGGAACTTTAATAGAATTTGTATTTTGCTGTTGTGTGAAAATCGTATAATCTGAATTATGTTGAATCACTTCATAGTGCTTTTCAGGTCTAATATATCCTTTTACTTTTCTGCCTATTAGTTCTATTAATTTTTGAGAGTTTGATATTGAAACTCCAACTAAAAATCTAAATTTATCTACTTAAAAAAATAAGTATAATATGGTAGATCAGACAGTAACGAATCTGTCTGCAGTGCAGGAAATCCAGGTTCAATCCCCTGTTTGGGAAGATCCCCTGGAAGAAGGGAATGGTTGCCCACTCCAGTATTTTTGCCTGGAGAATCCCACGGACAGAGGAGCCTGGCGGGCCACAGTCCATGGCATCGCAGAGTCGGACACGACTGACCCACTAAGCAAGGCACAGCACGGATGCACACAACTTGGAAGACTCTCAAGGGAATTAAGATGAGTGAAAAAAACAACCCGCAAATGACACAAATTGCATGACCCATTTATGTAACATTCTTGACAGGACAACATTATAGAAATGGAGGACAGATGAATGGTTACCAATGGCAAGAGACTGGACTGGGGAGGTGGCTGAGGTAACAGGGGCAACAGGATGGATTCTTATAATGATGGAACTATTTTGTATCCTGATTGTGGTGTTGGATACATGAGTCTACACATGATAAAATCATGATAAAACTGGATAGAATTAAACACACATGTGAGGACAAATAAAACCAGGGAAATAGAAAAACATAAAGTTGAATTCAGATAAATTTGCAATTAGGCATTCACAACATTTGAACATACATACCTTGGACTTTTTATCAGAGAATAAATTTTTACCCTATAATCCAACTTTGAAAAACTAGGAAATAAGGCTATCAGAAGAGCCGGGAGTAACCTTCATGCTTATTTGCATGAAAGTGAAACTGAAACTCACTCAGTTGTGTCCCACTCTTTGCGACCCCACAGACTATAGAGTCCATGGAATTCTCCAGGCCAGACAGAATACTGGCGTGGGTAGCCTTTCCCTTCTCCAGGGGATCTTCCCAACCCAGGGATCAAACCCAGGTCTCCCAAATTGCAAGCGGATTCTTTACCAGCTGACTCACAAGGGAAGCCCAAGAAGACTGAAGTAGGTAGCCTATCCCTTCTGCAGCAGATCTTCCCAACCCAGGAATTGCACTGGGGTCGCCTGCATTGCTTATTTGCATATGTATATCTAAAATTTTTCATGCCAACTAGTAAAATCCTTCCATTTAACTTATGAAGCTAGAATCAGACTTGCTCTAAGCCACAGGTTACTTAGAGTGGAACAAGTCCTACAGATTCTAAAGCCATGTCTTGGTCTTGTTTTCTTTCTATAACCCCTGACTCTGAGCCCCAACAGTTTCCACCTCTTCTACCCAAGTTGCCTCATGCCATTTTCAAAATAATCCTTTCTAACACTTCTTGATAACTTTTGTCACGCCTCAGAATCCTTAAAATCCCTGGAAACTTGGCCCATTATGAAGCTCAAAACACACTTTCTAAACCCTCCCTTCCATTGCCAATGTTGATACCTTTTCAGTTGTCTATTAGCTAACTTCAGCCATATAGCTGTGGCCCTTGAAATTCATCTGTATAATTTTTCAGTTTTCTGAACCATTGGAGCCTGACAGTTATGTGCCTTTTATCACAAAAGCTAACTCAACAATGAACTGATAGACTGACTTCACTACTCTCACTTCCTTCTGTCCAAATGCCTAGATAAGGCAATTTGATCAGTTTTGCGACTGTCCTCAGAAAGGGATCATACCCTTGCAGCTCCTTCCTACATAATACTTATGCAAAAATACATGGAGGACGACACAGACCTATTTAGACAGCTCAGGATTTTCTCCTGATCATTCCTAGGCATGGAATGTATTTCTTTCCCTAATAGGAAGTTCCAGGCCAGCTTGACTGACACATCCTCAGGGTGAAGCCTGACAAAAAGAGGCTTAGGGTATACAAACTTGATTCTGGTTAAGTTTTATAAACATGCACTTGTTCTTCTGAGCCCTTCCAGACAAAAGGTCTAGGTGTGAATAGAGAATCATTTTAATCACATTAAAAATGTGTAGTTATAACTACTGAAATGGGACACACAGTCCAGTTAGAATTACTTCTTAAACTAGGAGAACTACTCATATCTTTGGAAAGAAAACCTCAGATTCTTAAAGGTATAGGAAGGGAAGGACATTAACGATCTTCTGTCATTCAGAACTGCTCTTGAAACCTTCCACCATAAGAAAATTGCCCTTGTGGGGCCCTCCCAGGCTTGTGCAAACACCTTAAATTTAACTTACAGCTGGGCCTGCCATCCCCTTCCAGGAGTCTGTGACTACACTGTGACAGTCATTTCCCTTAAGTCTATCACGACATTGGGTGATGGCCCCAGATCCTGCACCAGTCTCCACTTCCACCCCCTCATAAAACATCTCGGATTTTCAGTCTTTCTATGGTGTGGACAAATGCCAACTGGAGGGTGTCCTGGTCATACATCACTTTCAAATGTTTAAGAAAACACCACTATGGCCTTGAAAGCATTCAAGTCAGTCTCAATTCACTCGCCAAGGTTGTTTTAGATGGCAGAATTGCCTTAGAATTCTTGAGGGTCAAGAAAGAG